TCCCCACAAATGTGGGCTAGGTTTTTTTAATCCAACCGCCTGGAGTTGTAAAGTTGTTATACATGTAATTACATCAGACAAAGCCATCTGGGCTAAGGGGGAACCTCTCCTTTATACATTTAAGTAACTGCAATTCCCCTGTCAGAAGATCCTCCTAGAAGGTTCAACAAACTTGATGTCATATTGACCCTAAACAAGGCCTCAAAACAACTCCATGGCAGGACTCTGTTAAGTTACTTTTTAAGTTAAGTATTTTTCTAGTTTTGCTATTTCGACACTGTATTTATTATGCTAGAGACTTTCAACCTTTCTAATCCTGGAGAATCTCAGTTCAAGCTGCTAACAGAGCAGGTTAATAGAAGACTGAACCACCAGCTCACAATGAGGTGCCTGCAGAAACACACCCCCAGAAGGCCATTTTACTGAGGATGTTTTGGGGAGCAGCTTCCTGACCACTAGCAACCACACACAGCAAGTGTCTGTTTTCTACTCTCCCCTTTCCTGTTCTCTGCACCAGACAGACTTAGCGTTTACCTACGTTGAGTAAGTTTTTGTTAAGAAGTTATTCTACCCTGCTCATCTCAACAGAAAGCACTTCAGCAGGCCAGCGAACCGCGACAGTTGTCCAAGAGAGCACGCAGGAGGCTTGCCAACGAGGCGGGCTGATTTTCCACCACGACTCACTCAACACCGAGCAGGCAGCACATGCTCTTCCTTTGGAAAGCCCCGCTCTAGACCCACATCCCCTTTCAGTCACGCCGTGCCCCCTCCTGCCGCAGGCTGCACCAAGCTGGGTGCCCGGCCCTGGCACGGGGCGCAGCTCACCTGTACCAGTTGGTGAGCGTCATCATGATATAGAGCGACGCCAGGAAGAGCATGAAGTGGAAGAACGAGTAACTGTAGGTCACGCCGTCCCTCTCGTTGTCGACGGCTCGGTGCACGTCGTCGTCGCCGTCCAGGGAGCCGTCGCTCCGGGGGACGCCGTCCTCGATGAGGGTGGACTCGTCGCTCGTCAGCATCAGCTTGTTCACCTGGCTGTTGTTGGATGTCCGGATGCTGCGGTCGGCAGGAAGGGACACAGCACGATTCATCAAACAGAAGTCGTACCCAAAAACCGATAATCAAAAGGTAACGCAAGTTAAGAGGATTTTTAAAATGACAAAAGAAAAACACTGACCTCGAATAGAGAACACACAACAGGAACAGAATCAGTCCTACGATTCCTTGGGCATCCCACCACTGAACCACCTGGCCCGGGGCTGGCGTCGTGGTGGTGTTATAGCCAATGATGCGCAGCAGGCTGGGGTTGCAGCGTCGATCTGTCACGGAAAGAACAGCAGAGGTTACACAGAGCAAGAGCAGAACAAGGATTTTAAAGCATGGCACCACACCGAGTGCAACCTGGAGGTTTTGATGACTTTAAGGTATAAAAAGGCTCTAAAAACTCTAGTTTTGGCCCATATAGTGTAGTGTCATTTTTCTGCTTCAGTTATGTCAACATCTGCCTCTCTGAACAGACAAAAGAAGAGTATTTTTAAAATCTGTAGCAAGTTATGCATCAAACGCTCTATATTCTTCCACCTCAAAATCAGATGCCACAAAAGCATCCTCCATACTAAATTTTTTAAAGTTAGAAATTTCCCAACACCTCAAGTGCTAGAAATTGTCAGCTACTTAGCTACTAAGTCAGTTAACACTCCCCACTCCACAGCATCCACTGATAACAGAGATGAAACAGGTGAAAGTCATATAATATTATTTCCTTCATAATTACTGCAGTATTTAAATACAACTCACACCTGTGCTGTTAAACAGAAACATAAAAGATGGTCCGTAATTAAGCCAAAAAGGGCCATTTCCATTCCAGAGATCCGTTAAAAATGGTGAGGTTAATATCTGACAATTTATTTTTTAATCACTGGAATTTCACAATACTTGTTCTAAAGAGTTCAGTTGTTTTCAGACACAAGAATCATTAAAGCTTTTATTATCGCATTTTTAGAAAAATCATTAATTAGGGAAAATATAATCAGTTGCATCTCAGCCAGCAGGGTAAGACGACTGGTAGGGAGATGACTCTCCCAGACATCCTGGGAGAGTTCCAGTGATCCATAAACTGAAAGTTTTAGAATAATACAACTCTACCAGTGATTTGTAAAAAACTTCCATATGTTACACATGAGAAGAGTAGAAAAAAACAAGTTCTCTGAAAGAACTCTATCCTCTTCAGTGTTGTAAACTAAGAGGTTTTGGTGGGTCTGGAGGGTAGATTCCCCAAGACTCCCACATGTAACAATATCACAGTACTTCATTCTAATACTGCCTTGCGTAAAGGTAGAAGTAAGATTTACTACTTTTAAAATTTATTTTTAAACAAAAAAGCATGTACTGTTGCTGCACTTACCTGGTTCATTGGTCATTGCTGACCAGGTCAAATACATTGTATAAATTGTGATCACAGAAGATTGCAGCAAACCAGATCTTGGCTGCGATTCCTTTAAAAAGGCAGTCAAAAAAACAAATTGAGCCATTAATAAGAATTTTCATTTTTGTTTGAAATTAAAAAGAAAAAAAAAGGAGAAAGAATTAAAAGGACACCTGAATCTTTGGCAGAATGGACATCACAGAGGCACCAATACACAGCAGCATATTGACACTGATGAACGCCTTGTTTTCAGAGCAGCCGTCTGGGTGAGTGTAATAAACATAAAACAGCACTATAGCCACAAGAGACAGCAGGTAATTGGCAGCTGTAGCAGACAGCAGAGCTGTGAAGAGAAGTAGAAAGCAGCTATGAACACTGACATGTAAAGAAAAAATGCATATAATATGTATGTATTTTTTACTCCACATTTGAAAGCTCCTAACAGAAAGGGGTCCTACTCTTATTTGAGGTGTTACAAAGACAAAACAACAAATGGGAAGCTTAAAGCAATGTTTGATTCTTCAATGCTTGGAGACAAAATATGAAGGAATATATTAACAATATCTTGAAGCAAAATTTTAAAAAAAAATTACTTGCCTAAGAGGGGTGAAACAATCTAGCTTCCAAATTCCTTCCTATTTTAAACTGAAGTGGTCATTACAAGAAGTTAGGCTGTGCTGGTTTTTTGAGGTGGCTTAGGGTAATTTCAAATATGATAATTTAAATTAATATATCATTTCTCTGGTGGGGTGATTTGCACTCTTTCTGACTGTCTTGGCCTTTCAGTCACTGTATATCTTAGAGAAATGACCAACAGGCAGAGAGAAAGAAATATCAATTACTTGTGCTGGTTAAAAATAAACCTAACTTCATGTTGAGTGGAAATATCACTACATAACAAAGTCTGCAGCCATTAAAAAAGTCACAATTACTATTTTTCTGCTATCATAAATTGATGCCCTATTCCTCCGGATCAGACCCTACTATTCGCACGCTGTCCCACCTGCCACTTGGCACCCAAAGGGCAACAAGATAATGCAGCTGAACGGCACCATCTTAGAAAAAGCAGCTTTTGCAGAAAACTCCTCTTTTGCAACCCGGTAAAATGCATCGCTCAGAAATCTATGTCCTCAGGGTACAATGAACCACACAACTCTTAACTGTAACACAGTTTCCTTTACCTGCATACCAGCACCTTGAGTTTCCTTCCTCCATTTTTTCGACCCAAGATTCATTCCAGGAGTGAGCAAAGTCAATAAGCAAGACCAGCTGAATAAGAATAAAGCAGAAGGCTCCAGCCATGCCTACGTAAAACCACACTATAAAAGAGAAGATAAAGCAAAACCAGTTCAGCACCATAGGTATCTTACCCTCTCTTAATGTCTCTCTTTAAACATCGTCAAAAGCTGCATTTATGCAGCTGCATTAAAAAAAAAAAAAATATTCGCATGCACTTAATTATTATGATTGTGCTATGACACAACAGGAGGCAAAATCCTCTTACCAGTAGTAAAAGGTCCCTCCGGGATGAAGAAGGCTCCAACACTAATTGCTAGGGCTGTGGCAAATTTAAAGAACCAGAATCTAAGAAAACAAAGTTGAGCAATCATTAAAGTCTGATGTACTTCACAAAATGTCAATAGTGCACAAAATGCAAAGCAGTGAACATTAAAACCTTGCCACTCACAACTTTATTGCTAAAACCATTTTTTATCTTTCTTACTTAGACAAAGATCTTGGCTGCTTTATTATTTTGCTAGAAAACAATGCTTAAACTGTAGTAGACTACCACAGAGAACAGCACTTACCCTTCATAACTATCCCACTGACATATTGCACACGAAACTAGGGTGGAGTCTCATTGTCCGATTTTTTTTTTTTTTTTTTTAAATTGCACTTTCAGGGAAAGAAGTCTTTATGAAGCCAGTATTTATAGAACAAGCTATATATTTTTAAAATAAACATTGCAGCACCACCACCTGAACTTCATCACTTAAGTGACAAAACTATTTAAATTGGGTATTTTTTGTTTTCTTTTTGTTTTTTTTCTTTCAAGTCTTCACATTGTTGATCTCTACTTAAAGGCTGCACATTGGTAACACTTTAAGACTGTCACCATGCTCCTATTTTACAAAGATTCTGTCAAGGCCTTGACATTGCAGTAACACAAAAACAAGCAGGCCTGCGATATTCACACTACGGTGCAGGACATTTGGGAGAAAAAAATATCATTACACACAAATATATCTGACAAAGCATCCTACATAAGAAGCAAGGAAGATCATTTAAAAAAAAAAAAAAAATCACAGAATGGTTGAGGCTGGAAGGGACCTCTAGAGCTCATCTAGCCCTGCTCAAACAAGGACACCTAGAGCACGTGGCACAGGGCCACATCCTCTTTACATTCTCCCCTCAGGTATTTGTACATGTTGCCACATGTAAAAATAGCTGCCCAAAGAGCAAAAAGAAGCCCAGACAAGACATGAGCAAACTTGGAAGAAAGTCTTCCTAGATAGATGACAAGGATAGATTTTTAAAGACCCTTCCCACCCCAAGTACAGACAGTATTCAAATAGGTTACAAAGGGAACTTCTAATTGAAAAGTTTTACCCAACAAAACTTGAAGGTGCAAGGCAGAATTTTTGTGACCAGAGTGACTGGCAGCTCCAGATAAAGGCCCTGTGGCAACTACACAGACTTCCCGAGCAGAAGCTCAGGGCACAAGCCAGGCAATAACTAGTCATGTCCAACAGCTGCCTGGCTCTCAGTTTTTCTACCCTCTCCCATCTTTTCACATAGTTTGGCCTGATTGCCAGAAGAGGAGATCACATTTTTTTTTAAGAGGAATAAGCTTCAACTGTGCAGAGAGGAACTACGTGAAATGAAGTGGAGAATATAGGAAGAAAGGATTACAGCAGGATACAACAAAGTGACCAAAACCAGTCGCAAAGCTGAACAGTCATTCTATAATACATACCCTTCTAGAACTAGTTTTTGAATCCACATATTGGAATTTTTATATCAATAACCTCTGTTACGTGAGGTTCCAAGTTGTTCATATTTTATCTCTAATTCTAGGCCTTTTCAAAGGATCTTAATGCTCTATCTATAGAGCTTACATGACAGCTGAGAAGCATACTTAAACCAGTACTCACCATTGCTGTGCACTCAGTGCAAGCCAGCACCAAGCTTCTGAACACGCTATAATTGAGTTCTATCCTAACGCAAGAAACGATTCTACTTGCTGTTACAAAGGCAAGGAAAGCACACACTGGCAACAGGTGCAGAAAAGTTCATAGGAATCCCTGGACAAATTCAAAATTCTTCAAATCATTCACAGAAAGATTACATTGCAAAATATTACTGAGGGTTCAAATTCCCAACCTAAAAGCTATGGCTTCTACAGATGTTAGATGAGATACGGCTCAACTTAAAGTGTTAGAATCCCCTTGTAGGCCAATCAGTCACGTGTTTCAGTAGTTTTTTTTTTTTTAAAAAAAAAATAAATAAATAAGGCAGCTGAACTGAGCTATTGCTGCTAATGCATCACTCCCAAACCTATGTTACCATTACTATATCCAGCATCCCTTTCTTTAGATCTAAACCCTAAATAAAGAAGATATGTACCTAAGCAATATTCTGCTCGGTCCTGGTTATTTTCTCTTTGTCTACAGAAATCATTTTGAAATTATTTCTCATTTTATGTTAAGAGATTAGTATTTTTGTAATACTGAATACAAAATAAAATGACCTCTCTATCTTTATGGCTCAGCTAACCACAGCTCCCCATTAAGCTTAATCAGCTTGAAAACAGCACTAGACTGAGCAATCTGTGCTCACTAAGACTAAGCATCACAAATGGTTTTAGGCATCGTCTGGCAGCCCCTATTACAACAATTTGCATTTCTCTGGTTTAAGAAATTACACGGCTCATAAGTTCAGCCCGGAAGAAAACTATCACTTGAGACAACCCGCAAGCTGAAATTCCACTATAATGGTAAGACTTAAAATCTTAGCTACAGCAAACCAGAAAAGGAGAAACTGCAGAGCTCAAACTTAACGCGAACATCTTTTCTTTATGTAAAGGAGGAAAGCAAGGAGAAGACAGCAGAGGGCAAAGAGACAGGTAAAACTAAATAATAATCCTATCTCTTTGCTCATTTTCAAATCAGCACTGCTCAACTAAGAGCAAGTCCTTGCAAACATGAAAGTTGAGAGAAACAGAATTCCTAGTGGACAGATGAGGCTTTTAGAAGCAGAAAGATCACCGTGAAATGAAACATAATACCATTATGCACCTTTGAATTTTATCATCTTTGGAAAAAAGCAGAATCTCTAATCTTGAGAAGCCTCCAGATTTACCCATTGTTATAGCCAAGACTTCGAAAACTGACAGCTCTGCACATTGTTTCCTCTTTATAACAATCTGGCATGTTTTTAAGAACTCAAATAACTGAGTGCCCTCTATTGCAACAAGACTTCTAGCTACTAAGAAATTGTTTGTTGTTGAGCAGCAAAGCTGCTTAGGCACACACTTTATATGCACAATAGCTGTATCACACACACCATCTCAGTCCTCATTTTTGTATCTTACCCATTGTGCACGGCTGCTCGTGGGTCGTTGCTGCTCTTCACTTTGATCATCAGTAAGGAGAAGAGAAGAAAGAACATGGCCATACCGAAGCACACACGGTACACTGCCTTGTAACCGACCAACACATCGCAATTCACATGGCCATGCACGCCGGGAATACTGGTGCCCATCCCTCCATCACAAAATCCAGGAATCTGCCATTGACACAAGGCATTGCAGTGATCCATAACAGGTCTTAAGTCAGCAAAAACATTAGCAGTTTATTACTAGATTCGTTTCCTAACATCATGCAACCACTATGCCCTGCTGCAAAACATCATACTGAGCAGCTGTACAGTCACAAGCACAAACTCAAAACATTGAACTCACTCAAAAACAAACAAACAAACTCCTCCGACACACACACACAAGGAAACCCATTAGGGTTCTCAGCAAACACTCCTGCTAAGATTTATTCTTAATTATTTTCATAACTCTTCAAAGAAATGCAGTTTCCACTTTTTTATCTGAATCGGGAAATAATGAATAAAATAGGTACATCTGGCTTCACACTACTATCAAGTTCCTGATTTAAGAAAAGGCAGCCTGCTTAGACCTCTTTAAGAGGGAAATAAGAAGTAACATTATACAGGTCACTAGTATGTCTCTCATTCAATCTTTAATGTGGTTACTATAACACAGTGAAAAAACATCTGCCTCTCTAAAAATGATAAACCTGTAAACCAAAAGCATGCTTATCTGCTAGAGAAAATCCAAGACAAAACAAAATAAGTCTAACAGTACCACAGAATATGCAACTGAAGTTCATTGAAACCTGTAAGCTCTCCTGTAACTAATATATTACCATTCCACAAGTTCATGCACAGACATATAGCTGATATACCAAATTAAATGGTGATTCTAAAGCACAGGTGGCAACACAGCTTAAATTCATGTATACAAGCTATCATTTAGAACAGATCTGAGACATTTGTTTTTAAAAAGCATGTTAGAACAGACAAAACCTAACCTTCTTCAGCTGCTCTTCCATTCCTGGTATTAACATCACGCAGGCAACGCTCACACCAAGGAGTAAAAAGAAGGCATAAATCAGCCTGGTTATGGTGGAGTTGTTTCCACTGGGGCAGCATCGGCAGAGCAGGCACGGGGCACTTCCACACAGACATGGTACCTGACAGAGAAACAAAACAAAATTCTTTAGCATTCCATATTACCAAATTTCAGTCATTATTTCTGTTGTGTAGATTATCAGAAGTCATTACGGAAAACACCTTATCCCACACGTCTCATCATTAGGAAAGGTCAGGCACTTATGACATGACACAGACCCTCCTATCAACCATGGTGGTTCTTCCTAATAAACTCTGTGCAGCAAAGATTATTTTTCTGTCTCAAAAGTAATCCTTGACCAATTCAGGGAAAATAAGGATTGTATTTGGATTGTTCACTTGAATTTTATATTAGCTAAGTAAGAATCAAGAGTTGGGTTTTTTTTTTTTTTTTGTTAACTACTACATAATGCGAAGAGCATGCCACAGTTATGAAGATTAAATGAAAATGCTGCAGAAAAATCTCAGAAGCAACTGCTGCTCAGATACCTCTTCAGCATCTGGCAGGGCTGGGCTGTAATCCTTTCTGGGGAACTACATGGTAAAATTAACTTACACAGTGTAAAATAGTTATAAATTGCAAGAATAAAACAAAAAGACAGTACATGTGTTATCATTTCCACAAAATATCAACAGGTGGACAGGAATGTTGTACCACCAAATACACTGAGGGGAAAAAAATGCATATATAGCTGAACAAACAAACAAAAAACTTCCATTCAACATGGTTTGCCCCTAAAAAGAAAATTAAAGGAATAAAAGAGAGCAGATAGTGCTATTTCACTGGAGAGAAAAAAAAAAGTTTTTCTGCCACCCAATGAGTGGCAGGGAGCGAAAGGATTGCATTTATCAAGCAAGCATAAGCAAAGCGGAAAACAAAAAGAGAATGATTAGCTCAAAATTTCCTTTTTCAAATGTGCTTTATTTCTGTATAGAGAAAAATTATTTTGTCTAAAAAATTGTGAGAAATCTCAATGAGCAGTTAAGTTTTTGAGGCCACATATTTCAGAGTTTAAGCACAATCTAGCAATGCAAGGACAAGGTAGAGCACAGCTGCATTCCTTGGCACAGTCACCACCTCTTTCACTAAGCCAGTGCTGTTCTATTTTTTCAAATGTGCTTTATTTCTGTATAGAGAAAAATTATTTTGTCTAAAAAATTGTGAGAAATCTCAATGAGCAGTTAAGTTTTTGAGGCCACATATTTCAGAGTTTAAGCACAATCTAGCAATGCAAGGACAAGGTAGAGCACAGCTGCATTCCTTGGCACAGTCACCACCTCTTTCACTAAGCCAGTGCTGTTCTATTTCAACTACAACAAAACCTTCGAACCCTTAGAGATGCTGGGTAAAACCCAGTTTCTATCCATCCTACCACATACTCAAGTACATCTCTGTCAGCGGATAAAAACAGAGCTGTGAATTACTACGCAAAAGATACCCAGTCACATTTGGAAAAAAAAAAAAAAAAAGTGTGGTCACATTGCCAGAGGACAATTCATGCCAGCTGGGCAATGGAGTGCCAGAGACAAGAAGTTTTGTCATTTGACAAAGCAAATTCCAGAGGGTGGTGGCTGCTGCTGGGAAGGCCTCAGGGCCTGAGGAGGAGAGTGGACAGACTGTGGGGATGCCCTTGGAGAAGCCCTCAGGAAAAGAAGCAGATTATCTGTTCAAACAGGTTCAACAAGACTCACATCCTAGAAATTAGGTCTCTCACACTAAGTATTTTTCCCCCCCTTTTTCAAGAATGAAGAAGCTAAATATTTTCACTATGCTACAAAATCATTTTTAACTGAGCAGACTTCAGAATTAAAAGCCATGTTCCTAAAAGTGAGCCTATCTAGATTATGAAAATCTATTGAATATGAGTTGCTATAACTATTATAAATATCTGTAACTATTTCAGTATGCAGAAGACAGTATTTCATGCATTTTTATCTTTTTTCACCTCCACTCAGCATTACTGCAGCACAAAGTGTATGACAGTGTTGATAGCAAGCAACTATATTAAGGGCATCTACACTTAGTAAGCGGGAAACATATGACAAATACTGGATTAATTTTTGCCTGCACTCAAAACTTACATGAGCTTATTCTGTCAGCAGTAGCACTTTTGAAGACACCATTGAATGAAAAGCTGAATTGGGCAGGACCTCAGCCTGTCTTTATGGGCTGCAGAAAACTCAGTGCAAGGACGGCCTGGTGCAAGAGTCGATTCCCTAAAGAATCCCCATGTCAAACTGCTTATTAAATGCTCTTAACTGGGGCAACTTCCAATTGCATCAAAGAACAGGCAGGAAGCTGACGCTGGATATCCTGGGTGCTCCCAGGCACATGGGAGGCTGCAGCGCCTGCAAGGTGACCATCTCCTCCCCAAACACAGCCAGAGGGGAGCAGTGCATTCCATTTACCCTTGTACGGGGAGCCTGAGCTCACGTGTGAGCTTGTATAACAATCTGTCCCAAAACAGCTCATCACCATGTTCTTACCAGCTGTAGTCAGGTATACCCCTGAACAAGGAAACTGGTTCATACAAGTTGGCTACTTCAGCAAGGAATCATGTCACAGCCTTTGAGTCCCTCTTTCTTTCAACAAAATAGAATATATGTTATTATACTATTAGTGCAAAAATTTTTAATTAATAATGGATTTCAAGAAGAACACAGTAAAGGATAATCTAATATTCATCTAATCACAAAATGAAGTAAGAGCACAGTTTGTGTCAATTTCTTTAAAGAGAACTTCTACAAAGCAAAAAAGATTTTTTTTTTCCCCCAGAACAACAGCTACTGTACAAGCAGTTAAGATATTACTACCTGGACCAACACTTAAAGTGAATCCTTCCGGTCAATAGTCACAGATGTGGACAGAGACCTACTCCTTGCCTAGGTTTTAGTCTGCGTTCTTAAGGAAACTAGAATAAGAATTAATCATGACTGCAAAAATCTTTTGCTATCCAATAGTTTTTGAACCCACTGACCGATTTACATTCCAGGAAGCTTTTAAGAAAAATCAGCAGCTCAGAGTTTACTGAGGAAAATGACAAAAAGATGACCCACACGCTTATTTTGGCAGTAGCGGCTGGAGAGATGAGTTAATTCATGCTTGCTAGAGTAGTCACTATTCTGTAAGCCAGTGGAAATTGCAGGAAGAACACACAGTAAGATCAATAATGCAAAACACAGATGGAAAGGGGGGAAAAAAAAAAAAAAAAAAGAAAAACACAAGTCCATTGAAAGTACTATTGCTTCACTCCCGATAAAATTTTAATATGAAATGTAATCTTCTTACTAAGGCAAAGACTATATTATTATGTACGAAATTAACTGCATGCCTCTCACTAGCCCTAGTAAGGCTTCAGCCACATCATCCTACTTAAGATGCTTGGAGGATCCGATTCAATCACAATTCTTGCTTAGTTAAAAATATTACGGTGAGGGAAGCAGCAGTTGAGCTGCTTCAGTCCAACACACGCAAGGCCCAGCAGAGAGAAGAGGGCAGGACAGAACAGTGGAGAGTGCATTTTTAGCTGAGATGACAGTCCTGCTGAGGTCCTTCTCCCCAGCCCCTCCCCGGCTCATCCTTACCCTTAACATGAAAGCAAAACCCCACACGGTCAGCGCGCAGTTCAGTGTAGGACAGAGCTATGCGCAGCAATAGCGTCACGCACAGCTGTATCCAGAAGAAACAAAGGGCCGAGGCCTGATCCCGTGACAGCTCCCACGGCACAGCACGGGGTCCTGCAGAGAAACTGCCCAGCGCAAGCGAGCGGCGCTGCTGGTGTCTGCAGCTTTCCTAGCAGGGACACCCTCCTGCTCCAACAAAAGCTCCACTGCTTATGGTTTTCCTGCCACAGCCCTTCCAGCCTGTTTCCTGCCCAAAGTCAGGAACTGTGTTTATACGGACATGTCCCTACAGAGCAGAGATGCAGGCGGATTCCTACTATGAGAACTGTCATAGACGTCAAAGCGTTTGTTAGCTGCAAATTTAATCAAGGAAAGTAAGATCGACACTTCAAAGCCATCAGGGAAAACATAAGACAAACAACAACAACAAAAAGAAAAGACTGATTTGTTTAGGCCCTCTCAGTAAAAGGAAGCAAATCCCATTTAATTGGGATCGCACATTTCTGTGAACTAATTTATTCAGAAGACTGTTACCTGAATCTGAAAGTACTTCTCTGCACAAAAATGAACATTCAAGAGCAGGTATACACCACAAGTCCCAGTCACTTCCTAAAAAGCCTGTTTATGCACTTGAATGTTTAATCTATATTAAGACAAGCATTTTAATTAACCCATGTAGTTACACTGCCACTTAGTATTTAACAATAATTTAAAAATTTAAAGTTAACTGCATTCTGCTACTAATTTAAAACCTATGTGCCTAACTCATTAAGTGGTGTTTGAAATGTTAATTAAAGAGAGGTAAACACAGACAGTGTTTCCTTAGGTTATCAACATTTTAGTAGCTTATTTACAGGCTTATCAACTTGAAAGCTCATCTTTTACCCAATACACAATTTACAAATTCTGCGATCACTCTGTAGAATTTAGAGAAGCAATAGGAAAAATAATAGCATCCCTCTAGTTAAACATCCTCTACCAAGAGATCCAAAGCTCACGTTTTGTTCCATTATGGCCCAAAAAAATAGGAGTATAAAACAATGATAGATTTTATGATAGCACTAAGTTTGCTGTATGAGTTCCTGGTTACACATATATAAATAATTAATTACAGCCAAGAACAAAGCCATGATTTTGATATAGAAAGCTTTAGGTTTTTAAACCCTACTGACATTTTCATCTCAAACACCTGAGTCATAACCCACACAACTGCATCTATTTGCATAACAAGGAGATCTGCAGAGACACCTGATAACTTAAGGATGATAAGATAACGATGCTTCAGTGGGGAATATCCTCTGTGCACCATCCCTAAAGATTTATTTTTATTTATTTATTTTTTCTCCTCTCTACACAGCATTAACGGTTATAAGAGCCATTTGGAACTATCATCTCTGAGGGTTCAGAAACCCGAGGGCGCTCACGGAGAGTGG